GGCACCAGATCTCATTACAGATGGTTGTGAGCCACCATGTGGTTGCTGGGAATTGAACTCAGGACCTTTGGAACAACAGCCAGTGCTCTTAACCTCTGAGCCATCTCTCCAGCCCCAATTTATTCTTTTAAATTTCATTTTACATTCCAACCACAGTTCTCCCTCCCATCCCTCCCCCTGCACCCCCCATTCTCCCCTCCAGCCCACCCCAGTTCACGCCTCCTCACGGGTGAGGACTTCCATGAGGAGTCAACAAAGTCTGGTACAATAGGCGGGGACAGAGCCAAGCCCCTCCTCCATGCATTAAGGCTGAGCATGGCATCCCATCTTAGAATGGGCTCCATCAAGCTAGCTCATGTACCAGGGATAGATCCTGGATAGATCAGGAAGTGAACTGAGACACTGGGCATGGCTTGAGCATGTGTGGGGCTTGGCTTCATAGTGACACATTACCTCCAACAAGGCCATATCTCCAGCGAAGCCACACCTCCAAACAGTCCCACTCCCTATGAGCTTATGTGTGCTAATTACACCAAACCACCCCAGCCCTGTTGGCAGGAAAGGTACAGGTCTTATATCAATTGACCTTGTGGAGCTCCATAGACCATGAACCTCTTACTCAGCCTCTTCCACTTATATATAATTTTAATATAGGATTTTAATCAGAGCTATGTGAAATAAAATTATATTACCTCAGACATGACAAACTGAAGCATATTTAGCCCTAAAACTGAGTTTGTTAATAGTACTTTTTGAATGGTGTGTAGGAAGTTGGATTTTTTTTTAAATAGCACTTCATTAAAAGTATTCAATAAATAGAAAACTATTTGAGGGAGATTTGTCATACAGTAAAATCACATTTCTGCCTACTCAATTCTAATAATTACTCTCCTATTACCTGTAACCACATGAATCATGTTAATCTGGATTTTTAAAAAAGTGATAGGAAGAATGAAAGTAATTAAGTTTCAGGTAAGAGTGCCAGAGGTCTTTATTACTTGGGTAAGTCACAATTAGGATGAGAAATCTCAGGAGCAGCAGTACTTCAGACTAGTGCACTCAGTTACTTGACCACTATTCACACTGCTGCAGTCTGTACTAGGTGAAGACACTGGCATGCCCAGCAAAGCTGTCAGGACTTCACAGGGGTCATCCATTTGCCAGGTCCTCCTATTCCTCTCAGGCATCTGTCTACCTCTATCTGTTTTTCATTGTTTGGTTTTGTTTTTTTGAGACAGGGTTTCTCTGTGTAGCCCTGGCTGTCCTGGAGTTTGCTCTGTAGACCAGGCTGACTTCGAACTCACTGAGACCCACCTGTATGCCTCCTGAGTTCTGTGATGGAAACTTTCCTAACAACAGTTACAGCAAGGAAAAGCAAATGTAGCCACTGTAGTTAGCAAGTAACTGACAGCTCCCCTCCAGGTGTGATTCCTCTGCCTGAGGGAACTTACAGTTCTAGGACAGCCTGCAGTGGGAAGTAGCACCCTTTTCTAAAACAAAAAGTGCAGCTTTTTGGCTTGACTTACAAGTTACAAAGTGATACTGTGGTGATGCTGAACTGTGGTAATTTTACTTGGAGGAACCTCCAGGGGTTCCTATTTTTGCCCATTTAAGTGTGCTAAAAGGTGGAAAGCTAAACAGTCAGAAAGGCACACAGGAAGAGATAGAAAGCCATTCCAGTATCAAGACAATAAAGCGATTCATAATGAGTCTAACTGCTTTCTTTTCTGGCCAGTTTGAGTTACAGCCACCTTTTTACTCCCCACGTCCTTTGCCTTACTATCCGTCCACACTTCAGCTTCCTGTCATTTTAGACCCTCAAAGACAGACATTGCCATCTCTAATTCTTATGGCTCATGTTCTCTATTGCTGGGTTTCTTTAGCTAATTGTTACTTCTTTTGAATTACAGGTTTATTCTAAAATAGAGCTGTAATTGTGCTATTGCCTACCTTCTGTCCTCGTCACTCAAATTCTTTCTAATGCCTGTTTATTTAAAATTAAAATGTGCCAGGACTGGAGTTGTTATTCTGTGGCAGAATGGTCTGTCATGAGGTCTTGGATTCAGTCCTTACCACCACAGTAAAGCAGTGAAATGAAACAGCCCCAGTGCATAATCTGTGGGGCCACATGGCTTAGGTGGTGGCTGTCCCTTACTTACTGTGGAAGGGGTAAAATTCTGTGATACCATTTAATAAATAAGACATATGTTAGGAGAAGGGCCAAGAGGGGAACATGGCCATGCCCTTTTCCATGTCTTAGTTTTATTATGGTTGACTCTGTCTTTGCAAGATTCCTACCTGTTCTGGAACCCATTTCACAGTGGTATAGACATGTCTAGTGGGGTTTGGTAGGCTGCAGTGAATCCATAGTTAAGACAGAACTGTTAAACCAGTGCCGTGAATATGAAAGGCAGACAACTGAGAGGATTTCAAAAGTTCAACTCTTATAAATGTTGTAAAAATCTTGTTACTTTTTTAACATCAAAGACGAAAGAAATCTTAAACTTATTTCTTTTGTGTTTTAAAAAAGATCTGATAACTTTCATGTAAGACAAAGAATATATTTTTAACTCCATAGCGTCTTTACTCCTACGTGCTTCTAAAAACAGTACAGTTCATTATGGGAAAGACTGGAATATGTGGAACAGCACGTGAAAGAAATTTTCTTTAGCCTATTTTTGAAGGATGTTTTTATTCGTGTTTTAATGTTTGGACTATAAATTATGGCCTTTAGCTTGCTGCCTGCCATGGCTTATGCCTGTAATTACAGCCCTTGGGAGGTGAGCCTGGCAAAGAAAAAGAAACTGAAGTGTATATACAGTTACTTTTTGTTATTTGTAAGTTCGTGTTTTGTTTTGTTTTGTTTAAATTAAATTTACTCTCTCCTCTCCTCCCATTCCTTCCCCTTACTCACAATCCACTCCTCCTGGGTTTCTGTTCAGAAAGGGGTAGACCTCCCATGGGTGTCAACAAAGCATGGCATATCAAGTTAAGATAGGACTAAGTCCTCCCCTTGTATTAAGGTTGGTTAAGGCAACCCAGTATGAGCAATAGGTTCCCCAGAGCCAGCCAAAGCATTTAGAGGCAGGCCTGCTCCCACTGCTAGGAGTCCCACTCCAGTGGAGGTCAGAGGACAGCTTTTGGGAACCAGTTCTCTCCTTCTACCATGTAGCTCTCAGGATCAAACTCAGATCACTGGAGTTGGCAGTGAAGGCCTTAACCCATCGAGCCTTCTTGCAGTGTGCTGTACACTTCCGTGTCAGTGGGTGTTTCTGACTTGATGTTAACATGGCTTAAAGAGCAGGGCTGTGATAGTCGTTGTCTCTCCCTGCTGGTGCATGCTTATTAACAGAAGGCATGTATGTGCTGAACCAAGTAACTAACAAGTTCATTAACTCTTCTCAACAGACTGGATTATGGACAGATCTTGGAAAGATTGAAAATAATTTTTTAAAGCCACTTCATATAGGACTTAATATGTCAAAAGCACATTATGAAGCAGAAATTAAAAACAGCCAACAAAATAGCCAAGGTTGGTAGCATGCTGTCTTATTTTCCATTAAGTCTAAAATTCAAATTCTGAAGTGATTATATTTTTAAATATCTTATATATGTGTGCCTGAGTGTATTTATGTGTACCATATGTGTGTATGAGCCCATGGAAGTCAGAAGAGGGTGTTGCATCACTTGGAAATGGAGTTGCAGGTGCTTTTGAACCTCTGTGTGGGTGCTGGGTTCTGTTAGAGTAGTTAAGTGCTCTCAGCCACTGAGCCATTTCTCCAGTCCCAAACTGTCACATTCTACTACATGTTCACCATATGCAAAGATGAGGGGCTATGAAAGCTATATTTATGTAATTAAAATGACTCTTAGCCAATAAAGCCGTTTTTCTAGAGATCAGTTCACATGTTGCATAATTCTAGTGTTTAATTGTATTTGTAACCGCCCCCCCATGTACTATGCCATATACACACACAAAATAAATGAATAAATATATGAAATAAAATCTGAGCGTTGGGGCTGGGAATCAGCTCGGCAGTAAGCATTTACCTAGTATGTTCAAGGCTTTGGGTTTGAGTCCCAGCACAAGCATACACGCACGCATTCTCTCTCTCTCTCTCTCTCTCTCTCTCTCTCTCTCTCTCTCTCTCACACACACACACACACTTGAGAACTGCTGTGTGGCTCAATGTGAAATGTTTTTCTCTTCCCTTACAGTAGCCTCAACGTGTAAAGGTGTTTGTTCTGTGACTGTAGGTGGAGAAGAAATTCCTAGTATGCCTCCTGAAATGCAACTTAAGGTAACTCCCAAAATTTTAAGCTACATCCAATCTGAGGTCTGTTCTGTGCTTTGTTTTAGAAGCAGCATTAATAACACAGATTTCTGCTGGGTGTGTAGGCCTGGAACCCCAGCAGTGGGGAGACTGTCACAGGAGGGCCAGTCTGGGCTACTTCACAGGACATCTCTCAAAAAGACTAATAGTGACCACAGTGATGCTCTTTTCTTGGCATTTCAGGTCCTACATTCAGCTCTTTTCACATTTGACTTGATTGAAAGTGTTCTGGCTCGAGTAGAAGAACTTATTGAAATCAAAACAAAGTCTACCTCCGAAGAAAACGTTGGAATAAAGTAAAAGTTGTTTCATAAATAAAAACCAACAAGATGGTGTTTTCCAGTTTATTTTAGACTGTCATAAAAATTATTTGCAGAAATGTATGGCTAACGACAGCTTTTGGGGGGGGGCTAGAGAGATGGCTCAGTGAGTAAGAGCACTGGCTGCTCGTCAGAGGAGCTGGGTAGAGTTCTCAGTCCCACATGGAGGCTCACAACTGTCTCTAACTCCAGATGCAGAGGATGTGACCCTGATGGTCACCGGGCACCCATGAATACAGATACACAAATGCAGGCAAAACATCTATACACATAAAGTAATTAAAAAAAATAAAGTACTACTTTGGAAGATCCAATACAAACTAATTTGTTTTATAACACCAAAACATGTTGTCAAAATGCTTTATTCATCCACATACTTGTGAATTTATAAAAAACAAACATACACTTTCTGCTTGTTGGGTGCTTTTTAACACTAGGTACCTGCTGCTAAGCTGGAAATGTAGACATTCTGACTTCAGAACAGTTGATTGGTTCCTTAACTTTACTCCCTTTCCATGCCTTGGAAGCAATCTTATAGAATATCCAGTGTCTGGAGTGCATTGGAAGGTGGAGGCGGAGAGTTAAAGACTGGCCTCTACCACATGAAACCCTGTCTCAAGAAACTTGAGAAGGTATCTCTAGCAGAGATATATGAAAGTGCCTGCAGAGATTAATTTTAGAAAACCCCAAAATGTACATGACTTTAGTCCAACTAGTAAATCCTGTATTTCCATTTCTTACTGGAGTTGTGCATCCAACTTGGTATCATTAAGAAACTGAGTTTTATTGTATGTGCCAATTATTTTTCTTTGCTTTTCCATAGTTTTCATAACAAGGGCCTGTATATGCCAGGACCGTCCCACGTATCTACACTCCAAAACATTAAAGGAATCACTTAGCCAAACTCCCAAAATAAAATCATGTTTAATAGGCATTTGGACATTATAATTTAATAAGTTTGATTATTTTGATATTTTTCTAGAAGAACACTTATGATCAATACTCTAAATTTGGACTCACTGAATCAGTACTCAGTTTTATCTTTTGGAGTGTTCTCCAAACAGGGCTTTGCTCTATGATGTAAGCTTTGGTTGTTATCATTCTATAGCAGATGCTGTCTATGGTTGGCTTGGAGGTAGTCTGAAAGATGTAAACATGTAACATTATTTACAGAAACAGTATTTTTGTAGGATTATATTCTTAAAAAAATCATTCTACTGGAGTGGTAGCTTGCCTTGGGTCCCCTTACTTGGGCTGACAATGCTTCCAAGAGCCATAAATCATCTAACAAAGACCCCAACCCCAGGCATGAGAAGCCCTCTTTTGAGTTGTTGGTCAGGGCTGTCCAAGAGACTCCCCAACATGACAGGCTGTGGCTGTTTCCTTGGCTGCCACACATGTGGAAGGCAAGTCCCTATCTGGTGAAGGCTCTACACACTTCAGACATGGCCTTGAAGCCCAGAGATGAAGTGGACCTGACAGCCTTCCCAAGAACTAGCTTTCATGGTACCAGAAGATGCCATGCAAGCTTCCAAACTAAGGAAGCAACCAACAGTCCTACCCAGTTACAATGCTTATGAACCACAACAATGACCAGCGTGACTTGATAGCCATAAAGGTGCAGCAGTGGCACTCACTCATATCTTAGCAGGAACCAGCAACTGTAAATGGACTTCAGACCTATTCATCAAGAGGGAGATCGCACTTGCTACTGGGAACCTAGCCAGCTACCCAGGACTGGTGAAGTCATGAATCGTGGAGGAGAACCTACAACACCACTTTACTAAACCAGCGTAATCCCAAACTACACTTTAAATGTGTCCTTCTATCCACAGATAAATGTTTCCTCATCAAGGAAAAGATCACTGCAGAAAACTACAACTGACTGAGAGGCAGAGTTGAGCCTAGTTCTAAATGCTACAACTACAACATAACTCCTACACCTAAGGTTCAGGGCTCATTGCAAAGCGGTCAAAGATTTTTTAAGAGCCAAAAGGATGGGAAGTTTGCTGTGGTTGTGTCTCCTAAAAATGTCAAAAGCTACACCCATGAAGTCTCATCAACATGGAAGCCTAAACATGATCTAAAAGAGATGACACCAATAGTCATGCTAACACGGAAAGGAAAAAGCTCATGAGGCACTAAGCCTAGACAAAGAACTACAGGTAACTCAGGATGCTGAGGACAGGAGGAAAAGCTGCCCCAGGGAAAAGCCCCCTTGCTGGTTATCTAATATTCAGTAGCCAGCCTGGAAATCATATTAGTAACATTAAAGTGATAAACAGGTCATAGAGAATGTATTTAGGAACACACATGTAACCACTAAAGAAAAAGGCCATAAATTTGAAAGAGAATGGGGGTGTGTGGGAGGACTTTAAGGGAGCAAGGAAGAAATGATGTAATTATCTCAAACATTTATTCAAAAACAAAACCTTGAAAACTCTTGCCATCATGTGCACTTGTGTATGAATATCTCCCTGGGGAGGATGGGGGGCAGGTGACTTACCTTAGCTATCGTGCACATAAGGTCAACAGCGTTGACTGTGTTGTGGACAGGCAGTATTCGTAAGTTACTGCCCAAGAATCTGAAAGGACAAGGAGGGAGTGAGCTCCACTGTCCCATGCTCATCCAGTCACATCCTGCACTGTGCCTTGGAAGATCTGAGGTGGTTGTGTAACCAGAATTCAGTGCTCACTTTGGTTTGCTTTGGTGGACTAGGTCAATCATCAAATCAACTCTAGTCACCCTGGCTTAAGGAATAGCTGCCTGCCCTGTTTGATTACATGTGACAGGTTATAAAGTTTATCTTCTAGCAAATCAAAACTCAGCTGCCTACAAGTATTAAGAACTAAAGTAGCTGGGCATTGGTGGCGCACACCTTTAATCCCAGCACTCGGGAGGCAGAGGCAGGTGGATCTCTGTGAGGTCGTGGCCAGCCTGGTCTCCAGAGCGAGTGCCAGGATAGGCTCCAAAGCTACACAGAGAAACCCTGTCTCGAAAAACAAAACAAAAAAAAAAGAACTAAAGTAAACAAGCAGTGTAAAAAAAAAAACAAAAAACAAAAACAAAACTGAGCTGTGCTTTGCTTCCATACCTCTGATGAATCCTGAACATGAGAGTCCATTCTTCAGGCCCATGGAGTGGGGCAAACAGAACCAGAAAGCTATTCTGGTGAATGTTAATAAACTTCTCAATTTTGGTTAGGAATATTTCCTCAGCTGATATCATACATTCTTTAGCATCCATCAATAAAAATGCAACTCCTAGAAAAGGTGAAGATAATATAGTCACATAAAGTGAATTTCATAAGTTCATAACATCAGGGACCCCAAACTCATAAGGGATAGAATTTGTTATTATAATTCTTATCTAACAAAATGGTTTGGGTAATTCTTTGACATGCTCTTATAGCAGAATGACTGACTGTTCTAAATAGTTAAAGGAAAAAGATTGTCCAGTAATTTTTTTCTGCCAAGGCACTGGGCACATGAAGGTGATGGCTAATTTTAATTAAAAGATTAAGTCTATTTTAAAAGTTAACCCTTCATACCATGTGTGGTGGTGCACACCTACAATCTCAGCACATGGAACACTGAGGAGAATCAAGGTGAGTCCAAAGTCATCCTGAGCTATAGACCAGCCAGGGCTATATAATAAGAACTTGTCTCAAAAATATTATATACTAAAAATATTTTTTAAAAACATTTACTGGTGAGGCTGAGACATGTCTCAATGGTTAAGAGCACTGGCTGCTCTTCCAGAGGAGCAGGGTTCAATTCCCAGTACCCACAGGGCAGCCCACAACTGTCTGTAACTCTAATTCCCTGGGATCTGACACCTTCACACCAATGCACATAAAATAAAGTTAAAATAAACTATTAAAAAAATCATTTACTGGCTTATTAGGAAGGCTATTCCAAAGGATACAAAGCCGTCTAGGAAGGTGTTGTCATGCCTCCCCATGCCCACTACCTTACAAGCACTCCGTGTGTTCAGCAACTTAGAAGACCGTGTATTGACTTTCAAAAGCTAGAAATCAATGAGAAGGGTGGCTTAAAACAAATCTTCAATAACTTTTTGTTGAAGAAACCTTCCTAGAAATTCAGGAATCATGTAAATTAAAATATTCAAATGAGCAGAGCTGGTATCTGGAATGGGGTTAGTTATAGCTGTCAGAAGGTGTCTGTGAGACAAGTGTCTGTAGACAGCAGTGTGTGGTTACAGTGACTGAATGCATTTGTACATCTTACATGACCTCTCTGATCCTCATTGTCCTCTTCTAGAACATGGAAAGGGTAATTCTTTGTGAGAATTGTCAGAGGGTTAAATATAAGGTTGCCAAGAATATTTGACTTCTTTCTCTCCAGAATGTTTTCTGTTCAGCCAAGAGGGATGATCTGACCTGGGTAATTTTCAGTGTGAAGATCTTTCTAGATGATCCAAAAAGCACCTCCCTTCCAAAAATCTCTGCAAGAGCAGTAAAACCTCCTAACAGCATCTTCTCTTTCTTTCTTATTTTGAGATGGTCTCACTGTGTGGTCCAGGCTGGCCTTGGACAGCCTGCAGTGGGATTACTGGCTTGTGTGTGATTGCACACAGACTGAGAAGCCTCCCTTCCCCCACCTCTTTTATGACTTCCGCTACTTCCCAAACACAGATGGAGCTGTACCTCCATATTCCCAGCACCTTCTCAGCCTAATTTAATTCTGTACTTTGCTCATGACTCACATACATTTTTAGAATTTCAGGAACAGTTATTTGTCCCCAAAAGTTCTTCAATGTTTTTTTTTTCAGTAATTAAAACTAATGGGAAAACATCATATATTGGTTTGGGTATCTAAATTTGGCCAAGGTATACTGCTGGCCTCTGTTAACAATTTATATTTATTGTTAGACGAGAGGACTTCTATTTTCGCCCCAGTTTGAAAGTGACTTCCAGACTCCATTTAACTGAAAGGACATATCCTACAGTGGGCCAGATGCTCTGCTCTGCAGCGAAAGCAACATGCAGCTCATTTACTCTATCAAAAGATAACACATTAAGCTACTATATTGCTACTGAATTTCAAACCCTAGCATGCACATCCACATATTTAAAAAGAACTTAAGTAAAGGCAATTAGCGAATCTACCATACCGGAGAGAGAGAACACAATCGATCCTCTTTCCAACGTGTCTGAATACCGAACCTTGTGGCTTCGATTTTCTAGGGCAGTTGAAATTTCATAACTCTTAAAAGAATTTCAGAAATGAAAAAATAAGACATGCCTGAAATGATTTTTATTACACCTAGTACAAAACTAAAAGTGCTTAATGGTTTGTTTTATCACCATTCTACTTAAAGATATGTCACCAAACAAACAAACCTACTCTCTGGGGCAAAAGACAGAGAAAGAAGAGTCCTATGTCCTATGTCCTATCAGGGACAAAAATGGGAGCAGTGTTGACAAGCTAGAAACTATGAGAACCAGGGGAAATCCTTATTTATTTATTTGTTTGTTTGTTTGTTTTTCAATACAGATTTCTTGTGTGGCTCTGGCTGTCCTGGAACTCTCTGTAGACGAGGCTGGCCACCAAAATCCACCTGCCTCTGCCCACTTCCTCTCATCCCACCCCCATCCAAGTGCTAACATTAAAGGCAAGCACCACCACTGCCCAGCAGGTAAAATCATCTATTTATTTTATATCCCAGTTCAGCCTCCCCTGCTCTTTCCCTCCTAGCCCATCTCCCCAATTCTTTCCTGTCCCCCTCATCCCTTCCCTTTCTGTCTCCACCCAGGAAAGTAATTAGAGGGGTTGAGGATACCACAAGAAAACCCCACAATCAACTAGCCTGGGCTCACAGAGACTGAACCAGCAACCAGAGAGCCTCCACGAGACTGACCTAGACAACTCTGCATATATGTTACAATTGTGTAGCTTGGTCCTCTTGTAGGACTCCTAACAATGGGAAAAGGGGCTGTCTCCAACTCTTACTGGCTTTTCGGAAATTTTTTCTTTTTTTTTTTCTTTTTCTTTTTTTTGGTTTTTCAAGACAGGGTTTCTCTGTATAGCTTTGGAGCCTATCCTGGCACTCACTCTAGAGACCAGGCTGGCCTCGAACTCACAGAGATCCGCCTGCCTCTGCCTCCCGAGTGCTGGGATTAAAGGTGTGCGCCACCAACGCCCGGCGGAAATTTCTTTTTTAAAAATGATCTGGCAATGGGTTCTTATATGCATTAGTAAATAACTGTGGAAGAAGCTGGGAGTTGTTTCTTAGATGGTGACAACCAATTTCCTAATTTGTATGTTTACATTTACTGTAGGTGAGCCAGAAAACTTACAAAGGCAGCATTACTGTACTCTGATTTAAGTGTTACCATTAAAAATAGTTGCTTTATTTACTATTCTACCTAAAATACCAGATCATAGTAGTGAAAGAGCTAAAACCTAAGTGGTTACTATATATCCTAATTGGTTAGAACCCAAGCTTGTTAGCCTCCACTTTAAAAAGAAAGATCCATTACTGAGGTGCTAGGGGGATAGCTCAGTGAAGAGCACTTCCTGGGCAAGCATTAGGGACTAAGTTCACACCCCTAGACGTCATCTGAAAAGTCAGCCATGGCCACTCATGTCTGTAACCCCAGATGGACCTGCTGGCCACCATCCTAGATCCAGATTCAGTGAGAGACTCTATCTTAAGAAGACAAGGAAGAGAAAGGTAGAACGGCACATCACATCCTCCGCTGGCCTCTGCACATGTATGTACAGGCATTTGCACCCACATACATGTACACATACTCTACACACATGTGCACACACATACACACACACACACACACACACACACACACACACACACACACACCCTTACCTTAACTAACTTTACATTTTCCTTCAGAACAATATAATCTAAGTGCATAGTCTAAAATATCTGTTCCTTTCCTTCCTAAAGAGAGTGTTTTATGTTACTGAGGCTTTGTCCTGGAGATCAACCATGGCCCTTTCTTATGTGGATGTAAACTGTACACTGCTTCCAGCAACGGCAGATTCAGTAATTTAGGTCAACTCTCCTGCTGAAGGAACTTGAAAAGTGACAGTTTGAAAACAAATCTGTACAAATGCATCAAAGAGCTAGCAGGGTAGTAAGAAATTGTAAGGCCAAGTTCTATACAGAAATTCAAAGATGGGACCCGGGCATTTAGGCCATTTCTTTCCCAAGGGCACCTGCCAATTCAAGAAGGGCAAAGGGAAAGCTGAGGAGAGCTTTTGACAAAAGTAGAGCAGCTCCCACAGGGATAGAGCCAGCTTCAAACCACTTCAATCCCTGGCACTGGATTAAGGTGACGCTGAATCGCTAGTACTTACAGTGCCTTGGAGAAGCATTTCTCAATCAGGGCTTCTCATCATCCACAACAGGAGAAAACTCAGTGCCTGCTTTCCCAGTTCTCCCCTAATTGGTACAGCTCTAGATGCACAGAAGGTTAACTAATAACAGGCGACTTGGTTTGCCAAATTCAGCAAATAAAAATAAACAACTCAGTTAAATTTGAATTACAAATGTAAAATTTGTTTCCAGTGCTGGAAATCAAATCAGGGGCCTTGCACAGGTGCTCTTACCATTGGCCAGTTTGGTGATGTAATTTAAAATATAGCTTATGTAAAATATAGCTTATGTATGTAATATTTAGGACTTTGTTAAATGCATTATTCATCTAAAACAAAATTTTCTGTTTTGCCTGACAAAGCAAGCATCAATTTAATTCTATTACAGAATTATGGCTTTTGTAGAAGATGAGCATATTCTTCTAAATATATTATAGACCTCAAACTACTTGTACAATTTTTAAAATATAAATTACAACACCGTGTCAGGCACCTTTAATCCCAGCACTCAGGAGGCAGAGGCAGGTGGATCTCTGTGAGTTCAAAACCAGCCTGATCTACAAGAGATAGTTCCAGGACAGACTCTAAAGCTACACAGAGAAACACTGTCTCCGGGGGAAAAAAATTACAAGACCTTCCCCATACACACACTAGCCAGACATACAGAGATAAGTTTATAAGAAAGAGAACCACCACAAATAGTGGCTCCATGTAGTTGGGCTAACAGACACATGTCTTAAAACAGATCTGCTTTCTATGTTCAAGGAGATGAAAGATGTTGACAATTTTAGCAAAGAACCAAAAAAAAAAAAATATTGAAGGGTGCAACAGATATGCAAGAGCCAGCAAAACTGTCTAAAATGTTAATCTTTCTTTAAAATTAAAACAGGAGTTTATCACCCAGGTGGTGGTGGTACACACCTTTAATCCCAACACTTGGAAGTCAGAGGTGGGTGGATCTCTGTGAGTTCAAGGCCAGCCTGGTCTACAGAACGAGTTCTAGAAGAGCCAGAACTACACAGAGAAATCCTGTCTTGAAACACTACCAGCCCAAAACCTTGCTCCATTTTGTTTATACATCACAAATAAAAATATAATAAGCTTCCTGAATGTACAATATCTAGAAATATTCTTCAAAGCTAGTATCTAGAAATCCTCACATGAAAGAAAGTACAGATTTAAACAGAAATAGGAAAGAGCACTTAAGGATCAAGAATTTGTTAGAAAATAAAAAGGATTCCAATATGGAAATCTTCCCCGTGGAAATGGAAAATTTCAGAGTTCAACCTAACAAATTTAACCTCTACAATATGATGTTTACAAATATATAACTTGTGAAAATATACTCTCAACGTAGTATAAAACATAATAGAGAAAGGAACCATTCGTTTTCCACATTTCTTAAGAGATTAGGAATACAAACAACTTACTCTTGCACCTCCCTCCTCCTGTATTTTCCAGTTCATGGCTTAAACCCAGGATTTTGCAAATGCTAGGCAAGTGCTCTAAAACCAAACAACTTTCCAAGTTCAGGAAGAGTCTTTAAACCTTAATTTCTAAGCTACATATGCATATACGGACTATAAGAATAGGGTAGACTACAAAAGTAAACAGCTCAACTGTACAAAAATACAAAAGGGAAAACCACAGCCCCATCTTTAGTAAACACTGCCAAAAATAAAATGTTAGCAAATGAAATTTTAGGAGAATAACAAGAAAAATCTATAGTAACCAACTCTTTTAACAAAGAACTGCAAAGATTTCATTACTTAGGATCTTTTTGAGGAATAACACAAAAATGAATTTGAAACATTGAACATTTCCAAATGTGCAGAGATGACCAGATCATGGGGAATCTGATCTAAGGAATATTTAGTATACCGATGAACCCAAAATCAGAATACACTAGCAAGACATGACAGTATATGCCTGTATCCCCAGCACCTGGGATGCCATGGCAGGAGGACCAGGAGACCAGGAGCTAAATGCCATCCTCAGTTATGGATGGCACAAGTAGAAGCTAGGCTCAGCTACATGAGACTCTGTCTTGTAAAAGTAAATGAAATAAGCAATAAAGGAAATATAAAAGAGCACAGGGCCATGAACGCAGCACACACCTGTAATCACCGTGTGTGGGAGGATTAGGGTAGGAGGGTTAGAAATCCCATGTCTTCAGCTCCATAGCAAGTCTGAAGTCTGAGCTAATGAGACCCTACCTAAAAAAAGACACTAGAACATTTCCAACTTTCAAACATTTAGGAAAGTAGGGTTTTGAATGTGACAGCAAAAATGTATATAACTAACTTTGGAACACGGTTAACATATTTACTTCCTGTTCACGTAACTGTGGACTCTTAAGCCTAAGATCTTTCAAAACACTGTCATACATGAGGTGCTTTAAGTTTCATAAATGGAGACCAATGGTGTAAATACCCACTTACTTTGAGAGATGAGCTGATGATAATGGTGGTTGTCCATTTTATTCTTTCTTTCCCTCCACTTGAATCCATTGATGTACCCTTGGATAGACCCAGATTCTAACTGGGCCACAATCTGGGAAAATGAGCAAAGGAAATACATAGAAATGTTTGATGAGTAAATGTAAGACAGCACTAAAACATCAAAGTCAGACAATGGAAGTGTCAGGCTGCACATTTGGCTACTTTGATCCTAGGTTGGTATCAAACTCACTGACCTTCCTGCCTCAGCTTCCAAGTGCTCAGATTATAGGCGTGACACACCATGTCTGGCTCTTAAACTTTCTTTTAACATTGAGAAGCAATTACTGTGGGAGTATCTGTCAGGACCCCAAAGACAGGCCAGTACAGATGCCTGAATACTAATAAGGTGTGCCTAGTGGCCGCAGAGCCAGAAGAAGGGGATCAGACCTCTTGGAACTGAAGTTACAGACAGCTGTGAGCTGCCACGCAGGTGCTTGGAACTGAACTAAGGTTCTCTGGAAAAGTAGCCAGTGCTCTTTACTGCCAAGCCACCTCTCCAGCTTCCAAATAATAAATCTTTAGAATAATAAATAAAAAGGTTCAGTTAAAAGAAAACACTCGTCCTTCAAAGCTTCTTAAAAATCCTGTCTACTGCAGGAAAATAACCCTCCAAAGGAAATGGAACTTGCTCAGAAATTCCTTACTTCCCTGAGCCTTAGCATATTTTTTCAACAAGATTGTTTAGAGGTGTATTTTATTATTTCACCAGCTAAACCATATACTAATTAGTGTCAACTAAATTGACATTCCGCATGTTACTTAATACAGAAGTAGTTCAAAGCAAAATTTAGAAACCAACTAGTGCAAATGAAAGTCACTTTGGGAGACAGCATGTTAGTGTCTCCCAAGGCAGTCAGTCTCTCCTACTTCTGAACAGCTCCAGTAATTACCAAGTTCTTCCTGCTGAGTTGAAACCAGCTGCTCCATAATGCCCTCATTTATTGCATGAATGAATGGCAAACCAGCTCTCTGTGAGCAAAGACATCTGGTATACGTGACCCAGTACTTGATGCAAGCGGAATAAAACAAATTCACCTGTCTGCCCCCACCACACACAATGCAACGTGGCTGACCGCAGTTAAAACACACATACACACACACACACACACACACACACACACACACACACACACACGCAACGCACACGCACACGCACACGCACACGCACACACGCACACACGCACACATGCACGCACGCACGCACGCACGCACACACACACCCATACAACGCATACGTAGCCATGTTTGCGATTGGATTTTGAGCACTGTTGATGTGCGAATATCAGTAATAGATACATTTGTTTAGCCCTTCACACCCTCATTCTTAGTTTTGGAAACTGTCTGGGAAGTGATTTTTTGAGCACTGACAAGTGGGAAGATTATCGGGGTCAGTCATTTCCCAAAGGTGCAATATTGAGAAAATCAGAAAACTAGGCCTGCGGAGGCATCGTTTCCTCCGTATTTCCACAGGAAGAAGTAGGCTGGCAGTCAAGAACTTAATCACTCCAAAGCTACTTTATTTTGGCCAAATCGCTTAACGGTGAGTTGGCCTACTTCCTCTTCTGAAAAATGAAACTTAGGCCCTTAGGGCTAGAGGCTCAGTGGCTAAAAGTACTGGACTCCCAGCACGTGGTACACTGATATACACAAAGGCAGAATTTCCACAGGCGGAAATTAGAAAACAAAAAACTTCCTGGGCGGGGGTGGCGCACACCTTAAGTCTCAGCACTCGGGAGGCAGAGGCAGACAGATCTCTGTGAGTTAGAGACCAGCCTGGTCTACAGAGCAAGTGCCAGGACAGCCTCCAAAAGCCACAGAGAAACCCTGTCTCGAAAACACTAACTAAATAAATAAAACAAAAAATCAAAACCTCAGACTGTGTCCTCCAGGCCTGGGCTTTTGCGGCTCCTGTTATGTTTTTCCCAGATGGGGACTGTTCTGAGATGGGACAACGTTCAGTGTTGCAGTCTCTACCGGGGAACCACTGTCCCGGCTCCAGAGGTCCACTGGGTCTTCACTGCACGGATGAAGGAGGAAAACCATAAACCCGCGGGGCTCACGACCGCCCGAGGCCCTTTCCCCCCTCCAGGCCCTGAGGGAACATCCCTGCCTGGAGAAGCACGGAGGAGAGGCAGGCACGCCACCCGCAGGGCTGCAAACACACCTCATGGGCAGGTGCCGCTTGCCCGCCTCCCGACACCAGGCTCTCCGGCCGCCCCCAGCCGCGGTGAATGCTGGGCTCGCGCCTCTGCGCAGCCGCAGACCCGGCTCTGCGGCTCTGCGCAGGCCGCGAAGGGCTAAGGAGCAAAGCAGGGCGTGGTGACCAGTGCCTTGCTTCACAGGCGCATCTCTGTGGATTTGCAACCCTAGAGCAAGGCAAAGGAAATGCCGTCACAGTGAGGAGACTCCATCCCGAGGATGGCCACTCTGCTTCTACTGGAGCTGGAGACTACAGGCCAGCAAGTCCTCAGGCTGTTTCCACACCCCTCCTTATAAACCCTTCTCCACCTGGCTCCTCCCTACAACTTCCTGTCTGCTAGTTGCTGAGCCAGCCTCCTGACCGCAGGTGAATTTTATTGACGCAAGCACATCTTTGCAGCATTAAACAGTTGTTCCAGAGCATAAACAAAAGTAACACACCCTAAAATAATCTACGACAGGATCCAACACCCTCACACAGACATACATGTAGGCGAAATACCAATGCACACAGAATGAAAATAAATATTTAAAAAATGAGCTGAGCAGTGGTGGTGCACTCCTTTAATACTGAAGGAACCAGCTGCTCCTTTTGGCAGCCATGACAGTAACACATGCTTGCCATGACCTTGTCCTAGTCACTAGAACTCGTGGCAAGGAACCAATCAGAAGTTAGCTGGTGGTGCTATGCTTTACGGCTCTGGGTGTGCTTTACGGACAAGTGCACAGCAATGATGCACAGAGCATAGTACCCTCCCTGGGAGGGCCTATGGGCCATAACAACCAAATGGCCAATCAACACAGGGCAAGCCCTCAAAGCCTGAAGGCACATCAATCCTGAGCCTGTGCGTACCCCTAAACACTCCCCTTACGCTGCCCTACAAGATGTCTCTGCAGCCCCTTCGAGTTGTCTTTGCTAGCCATCAGCCATGGCGGGTGGGTGAAAGACCCGAGCTAACATGGGGGTAGCTAGTTAAACAACAATAAAGCCTCATGCAATTTGCATCAAGCTCTCGAATCTGCCTGGTGATTGGGGTGACCATGGTCCTGGGTTGGGACCTCGGAGGCCTGAGTTTTCCGGAGGTCTAACAATCCCATTCAGGAGGCAGAGACAAGAGGATCTCTGAGTTGGAGGCCAGCCTGGTCTACAGACTGAGTTCGAGGACAGCCAGGGCTACATAGAGAAACATTGTCTCAAAAAAACAAGTCCATATGTAAGTTAGTGCTATGTACAATGAATATACGCTAGTTGGATTTTTATTTATTTCATTATTTATTTTTCATTTTCCCACACAGGGTTTCTCGGTGTAACAGTCCAGGCTGTCCTGGTACTTGCTCTGTTACCAGGCTGGTCTAAAACTCACAGAGATCCGCCTGCCTCTGCCTCCCCAATGCTGGGATTAAAAGCATGTGCCACCACCGCTCGGCAGATTTTTTTTTTAAAAAGAAATTTTAGAGGATGGTAAAATGTCTTAACAAGTAAAAGCAGCTTGCCTCAAATCCTGACAACCTGGGCTGGGTTAGTGGGACCCATATGGTGGAAGGAAAGAACTGACTCTGACTCTCACACTTTGTTCTCTGACATCTGCTTCTGCACCACTGAGACACTTATGTACACACACATACACACACACACACACACACACACACACACACACACACACACACAGGTAATAAATGAAATTTGAAAATGAAATCCTAAAATAAAAATATAATGTTACAAAAAAACACACTTAAAATGCAGCCAGAGAATTCAGTCCACATTAACAATGGGAAAGACTTGCCGGGCATTGGTGGCGCATGCCTTTAATCCCAACACTAGGGAGGCAGAGGCAGGTGGATCTCTGTGAGTTTGAGGCCAGCCTGGTCTTCAGAGCAAGTGCCAGGATAGGCTTCAAAGCTACACAGAGAAACCCTGTCTCGAAAAACCAAATCAAATCAAAACAAAAAAACAAAAAACAATGGGAAAGACTTGATTCTGGAAGATTAAACAAGCAGTGAGGATTTACATGAGAGAGTCTCCACAGTGGAGAGAAGGAAGAAAAGATAACTAACTGGTGCTCACAAACTAGAGAACACAACAAAGCAGAAAAGCAAATACATAATGTAAAGGACACTCTAGATGAGCAAAAGACCTGCAGACACACACAGAGAAGAGCAACCACGCTTTTGGCAAAATAAATGACTGGAATCTTACATCTGGGCATGTCCTGACAATGCTTTGAAATTATAAAGTAACATGAGGTGACCTACAAACAGCTACAAAAGGAAGGAAATGTTACCTAAAAAGAGCAAAAATATCACACTGGCCCCAGGCTTCTTTTGTTGCCCCACTAAGTTACAGGAGATAGTTCCTCGACGCCTATTTTCTGCCAGTTGAGATGCAGGAAGAACTGGCAATCCGCATTAAAGTTAAAGCCAGGCAGTGGTGGCACACGCCTTTAATCCCAGCACTCAGGAGGCACAGGCAGGTGGATCTCTGTGAGTTCGAGACCAGCCTGGTCTACAAGAGCTAGTTCCAGGACAGCCTCCAAAGCCACAGAGAAACCCTGTCTTGAAAAACCAAACCAAAACAAAATTACAGTTAAATAGAGACACCACCCTCCTCCTGTGCTGGGCAACAACTCTACCAACCTCGATGCATCCCCAGCCCAGCCCTTTAAAGACACTTTGTATGGCTCATGAGTATATTTCTAATTGTTCACTAAATTTTTAAGCGTGTGATTACCATGTTGATTATAACAATTTAAGGCCTTTATTCTATTGCCAAAGGGCACTCCAGAAAAAGTGTAGCTACCGACATTTGCACTATATGAATTTGAGGGCAATTTTACTAAACTCTAGTCAACCGTAGATTTTATAAAATTTTATCTTTATTAATAATGTTTGCTTTACATTTCTTTAGTAACTATTTTGCTGCTCACTGTTTTTTTGACCATTTCTATTTCTTGTTCTGGTAAATTTGTTATTGCTGGTCTAATATTTCTTATTTAGCTGTTAGCATTCTTCTGATTGATACATAGAAGACACTTATATATTAAGAATATAAATACATGTCCTAGCTCTTAAAATATTACTCATTTTCTTTCCTATTTTTCATATTAAAATATTTTAGTATTGATATTCAAGTCAAAGAATGTTTATATACTTTGACATTTTACTTGGATTAGATAGTCAATCAAAATGAATAAAAATGTAATTGTGGTGGCAATGAAAATAGATTGAAATATAAAAAGTGATGCATCACCCTCACATAAGCCAAGGCCATGTAAAGACTCCAAACTTCAGTCTCATGGGAATGACACGGATCCCCACCCTCACCCTTCTGCCCAGAGTGAGGCTCAGAGGGATGGCAAAGCCTTCCTAAGGGATCTGAGTGTTGACAGTGTGTGTAGAAAATGTCACCATAGCTTTTGCCCCCTGGAAATTTATGACTCGAAGATGGTTCCCCTTAAGAGACAGCTCCTATTGAGATTAGCTAACCCTGCCTCCGTGTTTATCTGTGTGTAATAACCCCGCCTCCATGTTCAGCTGTATAGAATAAACACTCTGCTTCCAGCATGCTGCTGTTTCTCTACCACAGAGCCCAGTCCACCTGACTCTGGCTTTTTGGTGTGTCTGTGTTTGCCTTCGTTCCTTCCGTGCCCCAGTAAGTTCAAGGGACTCAGCAATAACCAGTCACACTTTCTAAAAACTGTGCTTGGAATATGCAATCACTTTTTTCCCCTAAATATTCTTCCAAATGTAATGCTTCCCTTCATAGAGAAGCATTACTAAATCTAGAACTCATTCATCCAGTTATTATGTCTAAGAAGATGTCAAGACCACATTCTCTTCAAATGTATGTTAAAGCCACCAGTAACCTTAAAGAAAAAGGCCACCTTGAACATCAATGACTGTGTTAAATTGCAATGCAGTAAGCCAAATGACCCTGGAATGCTGTAAGCAGGCTGGTGCAGTAGCATGTGCTGAGTCCGGTGTCTGTGGCACAGGCAGCCCCACGTGTTCTCACTTCTTGCTTAGCCATTTTTAGATGGACTTAGCTCAGTGACTATGAAAAGCACAATTACCCCACACACTTCTCGGATTGAGTTTTAATGTAATATACTCAGAATTTCACATCTTGACTTTAAATTACAAATGAAATTCAGTTCCCAGTGTTATATGACTTACTAATAATAAACTAGTATAGTGTGATGATGATGCTGGGATTTCTTTTTCTAATGTAACTCAATTGGCTAAGTATGTGATTAATGCATGTGTGTGACTTGCAAGCTTCTGGGTTTTCTCTCGTCTCTGCCTCTCATCTGATCAAGCATTGGGATTACAGGTGCACGCTACCATATCTGGCTCTACAGAGCTTGATATCAACACATCTGGCTCTACAGAGGTTCCATTTTAATTTTGTTAAACAGAAAAATAATTTCCCAACTTACCTTTTTGTCTCTTAATCTTTTTATGACATCTTGAGCATATCTATATTCTACATTTATAATAGCCAAGTTATCAATCAACATTTTATGACTTTGGTGTCCATGCAATGGTTAATTCTATTGCTAGGCTGAGACTTATGGAGTGTCTGTAACGGTTAAACTAAGGAGGAGAGACTCTGCCTTTATACGGGTATGACCATTCCATGGCTGAGGAGACAAAACCATCAACCTAACAGGGCATTGGCTTTACTATTGGGGCAGCAGGATTTGTACCTGTTTCCTAACCACAGGTGTCACATGACCAACTGCCACTGTCATGGCCTTCTGCCACGATGGATACTGTCCCCTTTAAACCAGGCACTTTAAGCTGCTTCCGTCAGATAGTTTCTCACATGAAAACAGGAAGGACAAGCGCACACCCATATGGTTTGCGTATGCTTCCTACCAAAGATTTTGTCTTACAAAGTCACTCTCCTATGGTTCCCTTTTGATGTCACTGTTTCAAGTTAACTGAACCTACAGAGGTGATTTTCTTATCCGGACTACCAACCTTCTATGTGAAGTCTTCCCAACATTAAGTGACATTGCATGCCTTAAATAAACTGTCATATGTTATTTTAATACATGATTGGATCATGCTGGAGCTTTGCCACAATTATGTAAGTGGTATTTTGGTGATTTGAATAAGAATTGCTCCCACAGGGTCATATATTTGGATGCTTAGTCATTTGGGAGTAGGACTATTTGAAAAGGATTAGGAGGTGTGGCCTTATTGAAGGAGGTGTGGCCTTGTTGGAGGAAGTGTGCCATTGGGGGTGGACTTTAAGGTTTC